GGGGTGGGGGGGTGGGGGGGTTAGGGTTCATTTAGCCCAATTTTGAGTACGTCAAGTTCCAGACAATAAACAACCCCTTCTGAGGACCTCAGGTGATGCTGTCCGTGTGGCTCCAAAACGGACGCTAACAGCATAGGGGTTTGGTGGAAGTATTTCGACTCCTGCATCATACGGACTTGTCAGGGCTTTTCGGGACACCCTTAGTTCCGACTGACGCTTCAGCTTGCGAGTCAAACAGCCCTGTCGGGAGAGTCCCCTCATCCCCACACACGAAGCTTTCCATTCATCTCCTCAAGCACATGGCAACTGCAGCAAACTAGGAGCTCCGATGTTGAACCTCTAAGAAGACGAAACCCAGACCCCTCGTGCAGGTGCCTGAGTACTTCGACTAGGACCTCACATTTTCTTTCAGTAGGGGAATCTAAAGAAAGTGATCCCTTATTCTACAGGTCCCATCATCAACCCCCAGGACCTTACTGAACCGTTGAAGGGAACCCTACTGGCCCAGAGCTCTGAATTCTAGTCCTTATAGTCCTTTCAAAACTTGGACCCGGAAACACAAACCTTGAACCCCAAACCGTACTGCGGGACAAAACCTTGCATAACCGTAAATACATTGACTGAAGAAAATACTTGGAACTTGCTTGTCATGATCCAGTTTGGACGCGTTCTAGGCTGTGCAGCAACCCACTGGGAACAGTACATACTGTGTGGGGGTCATTAACATCTGTAACTGCAACGCAGAGACGAACATGGCACAACAAAAAGTATATCGCTGAACAACATAGCCTCAACAACACTACTTTCAGACGGAATCAGACTGGAATACTGTTTTCAGACAGAATCAGACTGTAAAGCTTCTTCAGGCCATGCCGCCCCAGAACAGGAAGCCCTTCTTGCAGGCGAAGACCTCTCCAGACAGAACTGAGAAAAGCCACCCTTCTCTTAACTGGCTGTCTGGTGCTTAGTAGGGAATGGGGGAATGGGTTATAGGGACTACTATAAACCCTAAACCCTAAACCCTAAACCCTAAACCCTAAACCCTAAACCCTAAACCGTGGACTATCATAGGGATCCATTCCCCCATTCCCTACTAAGCACCAGATAGCTGGGACTGAGACTTAGGGGCTGAGTACCCTAGCCCCAAAAAAAGGGTTTAGGGTTTAGGGTTTAGGGTTTAGGGTTTTTCCAATTATGGTGGGATTATATAAACCCCAAAAGGTTAAAGGTTACCTACTCAGCCACTAAGGAGAAAGCTACCCTTCTCTTAACCGGGGATTAGAGCCTGAAGCACTTTGGAGACCCAACATTCCGTAATAAAGAATACCTATTTTGTTGGTTTAACCAAATATATATTAAGGATTTATAAGGTATCCCCAACAAAGGAATAAAGACTATAGGTACTTTCAACTTCTAGTATGATGTAGGGTTCATAATGTCCTCCTCGGTTTCAGAATACTGCCGTCCCCCAGTGAAGGTCTTCGTCTAAGTCTAAACTACCAAAAACCCACTTCTTTTGTTTGGGATGACCAGACAAAGCGATACTACCCCCCCAACCCGTGAACAAGCCGAATTGGTTTGGCTAGTTTGGGGCTTGAAGGCTTAAGGATGCGAGTTCCGGCGCTTTGTTCCGTATCGTTGTTGACGGTTACACGAGGGTGTACTTCAGGTCATTTTGGCAGTAAAACGACACTGATGAGCAATGGGCCTGCTCTTCCACGGCATAGAGCTCGGGGCCAAGATCCAGCAATCATTCGAACTGCCACTCTATGAAGATGGGGACACTTCTCATTGCTCACGAGTCGACCGCGACGAAGACGCCCACGACGATGCCGTTACAATACCGAGGCGAATGAACGATATCGATAACGGGGAAAGGCAACAAGAAGATATCACAGGCTTAGCAGCTACACCAACCATAATAATCAGAAGAATGCTGAACATTGAAAGCTCGTAGTTGACTACCAGCCACGGCCTTCATGACATCAGCAATTCCACTACCTCGTCCTAGCGCTTCGCATAGTCGTCCCCCGCAAACTACAAGGCCCACAAGCCCAAATAACCACTGTACTTCCCTAGCACGCCACCAACCTATTACAACCAAAGTCAATATAACCGTGGTATAAGCAAAAGCGTCACAACTCGCAAAACCCACCGACCTAGACCCGCAACCGATAAAAAAGGCAAGCCCTGATCCCTAGCTTCTCTAAAATCCACCCTAAACCCTAAACCCTAAACCGCTTAAACACCCTGAAGCCTGCCTTGGTGTTCGTCATGAAGAAGCGTCCCGACATCCGGGCGGTCGCCCGGCCCGTGATGTAGCGATAGACTTGGGAGCCCTTCTGGTCTTCCTAGGGCTTAGGGCTTGGGGCTGATGGGATCTAGCGCTTACCTATAGTCTCCGTTGTAGTTCCTTTTTGGGGATACCTTGTAAAATCCTTAATGTATAATTGGTTAAACCAAAAAAAGGAACTACCATGGAGACTATAGGTAGGGCCCGACACTGTTACTGATCTTTCTTGGTTTAAAGAAGCAAGATTCAGGCTCTCGGGGGGTTAGCGGTTGAAGGAGCTATAGAGAGTTTGTTTTGAGTTTTCAGGGTCTTTTGGGTTTAGGGCCTGGGCCTTAGGCATTTACATAGGTGTTTTGGTCTACAGGTCTTGAGGGAAGGGGGCTTCCAGGGTTTAGTCTTGGCCGTGTCCAAACCGAATAAACAACATGATGGATCCTACCCTAAACCCTAAACCC